CTACACACACACACATATATATATATATATATATATATATATATATATATGTATGTGTGTGTGTGTGTGTGTGTGTGTGTGTGTGTGTGTGTGTGTCGTTACTGACGCCCCTCTCCTTCGGATGTTCAGCCTAACACAAGTCGTTTACACATGACCATACCAAAGTGACATGGCCTCACCCATTCAGTAGATTCATCGAGTGACGATCGATCCTGATTTTCGTCTTAGCGCGCGAATCACCGATTTCGCAGAGCTTACACAAACACAAGCCAACTAGCCGGGACCAAACCATATGTACCTTTCCTGTTTCATCGATCAATCTTCTTCTTTTCCTTAGCCTCCACCTTCTCCTCCTCCTCCTCCTCCTCCTACTCCACCTCTTTATTTTCTTTTATTCTCCTGACTTTTTTATTCTTTTCCTTCTCCGTTTGCTGTGGATTCTTTTGCTTCTTTCGTTTTTCTTTCTCTTCAACATCTTCTAGGCCCTCTCCTTTATTTTCCCTTCATAATATTATTGCTACTTTTTTTTTATATTTGCCACATTCTATTTAATTCGTCTTCTTTCCGATTTTCATATTTTTTTCCTATCAGTCTGTTTTTCTTTATTCACCTTAATTCATCTTCAACTATTAGGTTTTGCTTCTTCCTTCGTTCAATGCTGCTTATTCCAACAATGTCTTCGTATTCAAATCCCCTATTGATCTGCGATGAAAATCGATATCATCGTCAGCTTGCGCCTCCAAACGTTTTCGCCATTTTGTTTTTCAATGGCCGCCTTCACGCGAATTCCACCGTAATTTTCTATATTTATTTATTTATTTACTTCCTTCTTGCCCCTATTCGACATGCCGTGTTCTTCGCGTTGTGCCAATCACCAAGAAAATAAGCAAGCTAAAAAAATAAAGAAACACACAGGCAAACACACTCGCGCACACGCAATACACATCAACGTGGAAATAAAATCAGCCATATGCGGCTAAAAATTGAAAGGCAATTGTTCCGATGTTTTTAACTGAAATTTTCCCTATATTAGTTTATATCAACGTTTGCATCCATTATGATTTCCAGGATGAGTTGGCGATCACGTGGTATAATTCATTGTTGTACAAATTTAGCATCATTGTACAGTGTGGTCCGAAAGTTTTGTCACCTCTTACTGAAAACTAATAAGAACAATAGAATAAGTAATGCCTTCATATAAGCTACTTGTACAGGGTAGTCCGAAAGTTATGTCACCCCTACAGAACATAATTTTCTATTTCACCGTTCTGTGAGAATTCTCTTTTTAAGGATTCAATCCCGAGCAAGGCGTGAAGCCACTAGCACGCAAGGGGTTACAGACTGAGAGCGAGAACAAAGAGGAGTGATAGACGAAAGAGACGGTTAAGGGATAGATCAGGGCATCTGGAGACGTCGATTGACGTTACATTTGAATAGTTGGGGATTATAGCTATCAGGAAAACAGGAAAAGGGGGGGATTTCCACAGGCAAGAAGTGCGAGACATGAAACAATTGGAGTAGAAGAGACGGCTGCATTTAACAGTTTCGACAGTGAAAGGGTGCCAGCCTAGTAGAACGCTTAAATTCATGAAGTCTGGGAACCAGCGAAAGCAATTAATCGAAGCAATTACCGTGAAAGCATTTGTAAAAAAAAAGACAGAGGGAGGCGACGACACGTCTGTGAGAGAGCGTTCGCAGACGAGATGCCAGATCGAGGCCAATTACATTGCATATTCATCTTTGGATTTTATCAAGGACCTTGAGACAATTAGAAGGGGCTCCAGACCATATATGGCTGCAATACTCCATGAAAGGGCGAATGGTTGATTTGTAGATTTGAAAGGATAGACTTCGGCGCGAAAAATCTATTATCAAGGAGAGAAAGCACATGTACTGGATTCAGTTTATTCACTTTCATTGACGCTGTCACACATCGGGAAGGTCTTTATAAACATTGTCATTTTCGCGTCACACCTTCTGAAATAGAAAATTATATTATGTAAGGGTGACAAGACTTTCGGATCAACCTTTATTTAACCTAATTTTGCGTGCAGACATTTATAGGGTGGTCCGAAAATCTTGTCACCCATACCAAAATGTAATGAGAACAAGTGAATAAAGTAATACAAAACACATGTACTGGGTTCAGTTCATTCATTTTCATTGACGGTGTCACAGATCGAGAAGGTCTGTTTGAACAACATTTTCGTGTCAGCCATCTGAAATAGATAATTATATTATGTAAATGTAACAAGACTTTCGGAGCACACTCTATGTTGAAAAGTAAATACTTGTAAGAGCTACAAAGGACAGGATTTTGTGGAGAGCCATGACTTCCCACGTTCTGAAGGGACACGGCACATATTATAGAAGAGGAAGAGATCTCGAAAAATAAACTACAGGGTGGTCTGAAAGTTTTGTCACCCTCTACCAAAAGGGAATGAGAACAATGGAAGAACAAGTAATACAGTAATACAAAGTCCATGTCTTGGATTTAGTTTATTCACATTCATTGACGCTGTCATACATCGAAGAGGTCTTTCTGAACAACAACAGTATCGAGGCAGCCATCTGAAATAGAATAGTATATTATGTAAGGGTGACAAGACTTTCGGCCATGTTCATGGCGACAAATCATCCCCGTTCCTTTGATAAGGAGAAAGTTTCACTTAGGTTCTTTTCCAGAATTACTACTTTGTGGAACAAACTCCCGAGATGATGCTTTCCTGGCAACTACAAACTTAGTCTCTTTAGGCCTACATATAATATGCATTTCTGACTTCCCCATTCTGTGTCTACTACAACAAAATCAATAACACTCTACCTTGAGTAGCACTTGTATTGTGTGAATAAACATTGCAAAAAAAGTTTCGATTTTTCACCATCACTGCCAACCATTTTCACAAGCTCATTAGGTAGATTATTTGCTGCTTTTCTCTATCTCTGTTGACCTCAAGATTTAGAGGGTGGTCCGAAAGACTTGTCACCTCCTACCAAAAAAAGTAATGACAACAATAGAAAAACAAGTAAATACAGTAATATAAATCACATGTACTGGATTTAGTTCATTCATTTTCATTGACACTGTCACACATCGAGGGGGTCTGTACGAACTTTATCATTTACGTGTCGGCTATCTGAAATAGAAAATTATATTATGTAGGTGTGACAAGACATTCGGTCCACACGCTACAATTAATAGTAAACACCTCTAAAAACTACAAAGGACAGGAAATTGTGGAGAGCCATGATTGTCTACGTCCTGAAGGAACACGTCACAGATTAGAGGACGAGAAGTGGTGTACATTTCGATCTCGAAAAAAAATAATCTAAAGCATGGTCCGAAAGTCTTGTTACTCCCTACCAAAAAATTAATGAGAACAATAGAACAAATAAATAGAGTAATACAAAGCACATGATCTGGATTAAATTCTGCGACCGCAATCAATTAACATTATGTTAATAAACACATCAGTACGGTCATATATATATATATATATATATATATATATAAAAGGAAACATAGAAGTCAACAGTCTGTTTCATGCTATATGCAATCGTCAGGCCACGTGTGCTGTATATTTTTCTCGGCTATTTATATATATGCAGGTCAGTGGTGCATTGTGGGTAGTCTATTATGGCGGTTATTTTACCGGAAGTCGTTTATTTATTTATTTGGGTTAAATTATTTTGCTTGTTTTTATTTTAATTTTTTGTTTCTTATTTTATTTATTTATTTATTTTTTATTCTCAAACCAAAACAAAGCTATTAAATAAGTGATATAAACAAATTTTTACTACGTTAATAAAAACACGGATTAAAAAAAAAAACATGTGGTCTGACGATTGTATCTAGCATGAAACAAACTGTCGCCTCTAAGTGTTGACTTCTATATTCACTTTTATATTTACACACGCTCTATCTCTGATATTGAGCACTTTATCCCATAAATATAGCACACCTTAAGACTATATTTCTTCACACACACACACACACACACATATATATATATATATATATATATATATATATATTTGAAACGAAAAATGAAAAGAAATTTGCACATTTTTGAGAGGCCGTATTAAGCATTTGTAAATTAATGAAGTGAGGAAGTGAGGGGGGGAGAGAGAAGACATGAGTGAGTGAGATGTAATTTAATATTTAATAACTTAACTAAACTTAAAGAGATTACCCATCTAAAAACAGTCACGAGTTAAATTCATGAACAAAATTCAAATGGATAGAGATCCCCACTCACTTCCTCACTTCGTTAATTTACATATGCTTGATACGGCACATACAAAAGTCTGATGATCCGCAGTCCTTTTAAAAAGGCTGTGGTGAAATCATTTATTAAATGGAACCTTAAAGTGGTCTGTTTTTATTTAAATTATTTGCTCTGGATTTACATTGAGCTCTCTGGATTTTATCCTCTTTGGGTCTACCCATACGGATTACCTAGTTTTTCATAAACTATATATATATATATATATATATATATATATATATATATATATATATATATAATTATTTATTTAAAAATATGATTCCAAATCGCTACATAAGAGGTCTCATGTTTCAAAACTAGAGCCGAAAAAACTTCAATATAATCCTTTAAATTAAATTGAGTTGAAAGTAAAATGGGCTGCGTTCCATCCTCAAGCGAAATTTTCGTTGGAATAACATATATCTGAAATTTACTTGTTTTAAAATTGAAATCAAAATCCCCATGGTAACAGCTATGGTGAATTTTCTAAATTGGGTAGGCGAGTGTAGGGTGTTTATATTGAGTAGCGGTATAGAGATACTTTCAAGGTGTCAAGTCAGGGAAAGGTGGGGTGTCAAAAATGAAACGGAAGATGTATTGGCCATCGTCTAGTTTGATTGTCTATGGAGATTTATTTATTTATTTTATTTTATTTTATTATGAAAGGAATTGTGCATATAAAAAAAAAAAAGGAAAATTTTCGTAACGTTTAGTTTTTTTTGACGACTTCAT